CCTCTCACTACCAGAATCCCCCGCCCTGTCCAACTTAACAATTTGCCCATGAAAGGCCACGCAGGCAGAGGACCATCGCACCCACTGTTTAGACAGCAGTGATGACAGCTGGGGAGTGTGACAGCCAGACAACTTGATAGGCTCCCAGTCAATACCTGGCTACTGACCGCCCATGGGAGAAGCATTATATCAGGCTTGGGAGAGAAGAGAGCTGACAGCCTCTTGCTGAAAAGTGAGCTCAAAGGCATACTTAGGATGTCAGAGAGACCACGCTGCAAAAAGCATCAGCAAAGGCTGGGAAGTGGTGACACTGTGAGGGTGTCATCAGACCTGGATATCAAAGAGATCAAGGACAGCCTTACTCAATAGACATTCAGACTACGGTGAGTGTGCACCTGTATCCCTCACTGTGCCCATTCACTGTGAAACCATCATAAAATGCAGTTCCTGACACAAGGTGGGCTTTCAAAAGGTACTTGTTGAGTGAGAAAGGAAGATTCTGGAGACACAGTCTTATTCCTATTGCAAAAGTCATGTAAAGAAAACCTTTTCTTCATCTGGAACTCTCCATGAGGGTCAATAGTAAATTCCACTTCAGTAAGTAAAAGTTTTAGTAAAAATACAGGTCAAACACAAGTAATGACTCTAGCATCTTACTACGCTGGTGGACAGTGATTGCACTGGGGGGGAAGGGGACTTGATAATATGGGTGACTGTTGAAACCACAATGTTGTTCACGTGAAACCTTCATAAGATTATTAAAGTATATCAATGATACTTTAATGAAAAACATGTCAAACAGTTTTTCAAAATCATACTACATGATTCTGGCAGAGAAACTAAAACAAGATCTCAGAAAATAGTGATCAGAGTATAAACTATACCAAAACTTTGGGAAAACAAATTGTAAGTATGAATCAAGAGCCTTAAAATTATTCATAATCTTTGACTCAATGCCATCTCTAAGGTTAGTTCGAGAAAACAATAAAACAGTAGGTTAAAAATTATTTAAGCATGAAAATGCTCACTGTACTAGTTACAATAATAAACACTTGAAAACAACAGTGGGCCCCTTCCCCCCCAAAAAGGAAAAAAAAAAAAAAAAAAAAACCAATTGAAGAGCCTATTTATTATGTAATTATTAAAGAAGATTTATAGATATTGCAATAGCTTTGGTTGTGATGGGACGTGAGCTCAGATTTCCCCCAGGGAAAAGAGCTTTATAGGAATACCTTGTGAGCTTCAGGAAGGAAAGAATAGACTTGTTTTTCCTTTCTTGAGCCCGGCAAACCCATGGATCACCCCACAGCACAGCACAGAGGCTGGTGTCGCTGAGTCCTGACGCTTGCCAATCTCTGTTTTCAGTAGCCTTGCTTACCCCTGCTTACATTTATTTTAATTTTAGCTGTCTTTCAAGTGCTATTCATCCTGCCACCTTCCGTGAGGATTTCATTATTATTCTAGAATTCAAAGCATGCTCATCTCTCAGGCTTCTAGAACTGCCGTTTACAATGCCCCAGTGTGTCTCAGGCCACCTGACGGACGCCACCAGTTCCCACCCGAGTCCATAAACAGAGGTTTGCAAATGTCTCACTTGTTTGTGAAAGGAAATCAGATGCCAGGATTAAGTGTCTGGAATCTGTAGGCAGATTCCTCTGTTCAAGTCACAGCTTCATCATTTCCCGGCTGCATGACCTTGAGGTAGGTAAGAGACCTTTCTGGGCTGCAAGGCGCTCATCCATAAGACGGAGCCGACACCCACCTCACTTTATCATTGCATTGCAGCCTGATCTATGCATTAAGCTCCCATAGTCTAAACGTCTGCCTTTAAATCTTAACTTGGACTGACCATATACCAATACCAAGATATGCCCTGAGTACTTACAAGTTTGACTTCAGATTACACAACCTTCCACACCCTCACATTGCCTAAAGCCAGGGACCACAAGAACCACCTCTGGTGGTCTGAAGGCTCCGGCCCTGGCTGCCAGGTCTTGGTCTGGAACGCAAACATTGTTTTACCTTCAGTTGTTCTCCTGGTTAATAGAATCCAGCTTAGAGGAGAAAATTCCTATGGCCAACAACTTACAGACATGACATGATGCGTTCAATGGCCTTTGGTGGGTAAGCGATAGGCTCACACCCTCCCGTCCTCAGGGCAGACGCCACAGACCAGGCAGGGGTCAGCATCCCCTCCCACCTCCTCCTCAAACAGGGGGTTTTGACAAAGCGCATTTGAAAAATAATATAACATGTGCACTCAAGTTCTCGTGTCATCAGGTAAGAAGGAAAGAAAACTGAAATGGAATGGCGCCATATCTCCTTTAAGCACGCCTGCTGTGTCTGAAGACCAGAGCTTCCCATTTTGCCGTTTCTGAGAGCCCTCCGCACTCTCCCCTCACTGTCCCCGCTCTCGTTCACACAGGATGACAGTAGTTAATCCCATCTGTCCTATGCCAGCCGTTATTTCACACTTACTAGAAAGCACCAATAATGAAAAAAAAAAAGAAAAGGAGCTTGAAAACACAAAAGATTAATACTCAAGAAATGATCAGTTTTTAGTATTATTAAACATGTCTTATAAATCTGAAGACCTTGGATTTACTGTCCCGACGGTAGGTGACTGCTCAAGAAAACCACGGACGCCGCCCTTTCCACAAGAGCAGGACTGGGAACTTGCTCTGCCCCGAGGGCACCGCCTGTGGCACGTTCTGATTCGGCAGCTCTCATCTCGGATGCCCGTGGCTGGGGCACAGGTGTTTCAAAGGCGTTGACCCTCGGCTTGAGTCACTCAGTTTACAATCAGACTCAACGCGAGGCTCCTCACTCAGTCAGGACGGAGAGAGGGGCTGTTTGGAGGGGGACGGATTCTCACACTGCACAGGCGCCCACCTCTGCTTTGTCCTGGGTCCCCAGGAGGGCAGAGGAGGCTGACAGTGTTGGTGCCCAAGCAGAGGTACTGAGCAATGTCACAGAAAGGGGAATGAGAAGGTGTTAAAAAACAATGTATATTTTTGAGACTTGGTGTGTAGAGTCTCCTGCTCATCAGCCTTGACGTGTTCCTTAAAAATCAGCACCTTTCCTCTATCAGTTTTCAACTCACAGGTTTTTAAGGCTGGAAGTCTATTTTTAGCCTGATGCATGGAGAAAAGCAACCGAGAAGAGCGTCCATTGGGGTGAACTACTCAAAATACTGTTGTTTTTGGGAGAAAGTGAAGAGCCAGCTTTAAGAATCACAGGACGCCACCCTGTGAGCGGGCCGGTATCCAGGCAGCTCGGGCTTAGCTCTTCTTCAGGGTCCTCTTGTCTCACTGCTGGACTCGTGCTCATCCCAGGGGCCGCTGAGCATCTTAGGAGCCCTGACATCACGATCCGGACAGCCCCGTATACGCCCTGCAGGGCTTCCGTGCAGGTGTGTGCTAGCCCTGGGTATCTGGGGGCGGCATTTCTGGCGCCAGACTCAGTACTTACAGATACCTGTACTTACTCAAGTACAAGAAGCAGGGAAAGTTCAAACCAAATCTCTTTCAGATCAGTGCTGCCTTCACTTCCAAATTTCAAAATAGAAATTTTAAAGCGGGTATTTCATCACCAATCAGCATTTCTTTTTATTACACAGGTGGCTAACACAAACACGCCCCCAGGATGACCGAGGGGCTCCCTGACTCTCTCCCTGTGTGGCCTCCATCAGGGCTGCGACACCCCAGAGCAGCAGGGGGGCCGCGCAGGGGCTCCCAGGCCCTCGGAGAAGGGAGCTCTGGCATCGCCATCCTGGGTCAGGGCCTGGTCCCAGCCCAGCTGGCATCGGCCACCGCCCTTGCCAAGGGCCACCCCACACGCAGGGGTCCAGGGGAGCCGGAGAGACCTGCCCTGGGGGGGACCCCACACCTCTCCGAGCAGCGCCCACCTGGGCCCGGCTCCCCCATTCTCTGGGAAGGTCCTCCTATTTCTCCACCTTCTAAGTCAATTTCAGATTTCACAGGTTCTGTGGAATCTCCTACAACTATAGCCAGAGCTTTCAGATTATGTCTTTCTAAGTTAAAGTTCATTTCACATAGTGTGACTTAAAATTCTCTAAATGGCAAACCTTCTCCAGGCTGTCATGTGTTTTTGTTGGGTGACCCCAGCGACACTATGGCATCACGGCCTTGGGGCCCACGAGACCCACTCAGCTTCACCCCTTCCCTGACTGCTCCAGCACCACTGCCCCTCCCACCGCACGTCTGCTGGTCAGGGCGCCCCAGGTCCAGCGACTCCCCGCACACTCAGCTTCTCAGCTTCTGCGTGTTCTTTTTCTCTCCTGTCGCGTTCCTGCCCCAAGCTCAGATCAGGCCTCCCCCTGGAGGCATCTCCAACACCGACACGTGGCCACGGCGCTCACTGCACATACGCCCCCTCCGCGGGTTCAGAGCACGCTCCCCCGTGCTAAGGGTCTTGGAGAGCCCATGTGGTTTTAAGAGGTAACCTTTGCCACTCCAGGTGGAGATTTCAAAATCTACCAAATGCCTCCCTGTGCTTCCTGCTTTCTGCCACAGCAATACTGCAAATGACGGAGCCTCTGCAAGCGCGGGCAGGTGGATGAGGGCCCCTTGCCAACGTAACTCGGTCATGACACAACGGCAGCCACAGGCCCCAAGACACTAGGGTGCTCATAACACCCAGCTCGCACACCGAGACACTGTGGCTGACTTGGCAGCCCCCTATGGGTGCCCAGAGCACAGGTTGTCTGTACCTCCACTTACACCACTTCCTGTTTGTCTTCCTGGGGGTCCACAGCCTCCATGAGGTCATGGCTTGTTTCCATGCACCCTTCATGCCTGCCAACGCTTGGCCTCTAGTACCCTTCCCAGGATGCACAAGCGGCACCATCCCTGGACACGTCCCCAGCTCACACTGATGTGGGATGAACAAGCGGCACTTGCCCCCGGGGCACGTCCCCAGCTCACACTGGTGCCCCTGGCCCTGCCCCGCACCCTGTGGGTGGACCACGACCTACTCACAGTTGTGGCAGGTGGCCCCCGTGTAGCCCGTGCCGCTGCAGTCGCAAAGGAAGGTGGTCCACGACTGGGAGCAGCGGCCTCCGTGTTCGCAGGAGTTCGGCAGACACCTAGTGGGCGAGAAGGCGAGAGCTACAAAATCAGCCAACCTGTGGAAATGCACCCCAGAAAACAAATCGCCTCACATCCAAGTGTGAGCGGGGGCTGTGCCCCTGGGTCTGCTCTGCTCCTACACCCACGCTGGACTCCATGGACACTAACATAATATGATGGTTTTACCCTAAGATCTGGGTCTACTTGGCACTTCTTGGCACTGAAAGGCTGAGATGATGTAGGCAGTTAAGTTAATCATTCCAACATCAGGGCAAATTCTCATTGAATTCAAGTTAATTTGATGTGGTCATAATCTGCAAGGTTTTTCATTTACCACAGAACAGGATGTACAAAATAGTAATTTTACAGTTTGGAAGGGTTTTACATTTTTAAAGGAACAGAGAAAGGGGCAGATAATTGGGGTCACTGACCTTGTGCTTCTCTTTTGGGTGAGAGCCAGGAATCTATTTTAAACTACACATGAAATTTCAAGTGATGGTAACTGATTATTTAGCATGCAAGAAGATTCTGTCATTTCTAAAACTGCCAACACCAGCCTTACCACAAGGCCTTTACTGCTTATGATGAAACAGTATGAGTATTTTGAAAAATATTTTCACCACACACAGTACAATTTCACTGAAGCAGACACACAGTGCTGCCCAGCGACCACACTTACATGGCTGTGCCTCATGGAGACATTTCACAACATGAAAACTATGTATGCTAATTATTGTTCATAATGTGCCATGATGAATCAGTGTAAGTGTCCAACATTAGAACATTTCTTAGGAAAGATGAAGAACATAAAATTAATGAGCCATCACATACCTCCTACAAATGGCCAGCAGGAAGGATTACAACAGACTGGGACTGGATTAAGGGAAAACTCAAGATAAGAGGCGTGGCCACAAAGTCAAACACACACTTCTTATTGCAGAAATGATAGAAAGGACTAATGTTAAGCATCACTTGGGTTAATGGGAATGAATGCAATGTCCATTTCTTTTGGACAGAGATCTTGGACTTTAGGGTCACACATACCTGACTTCAGATTCCCCTCTCAGCCATTTAGTACACGGTGGCTTTGGGTAAATCTGTGCACCTCGTACATCCACAATTTAAAATCTCCACACTGCAGGCACTATGTCTGCTGAGAGATAACCTGGCACGTGCTGGACATTCCTGACGAATATACTTAAGAGTAAAAGCAATGAATACTGGAATTCTTGAAAACTATCTTTACAGGAAAAAATATGTCATGAATTTAAAAGGGAAGAGGGTGTAAGCACTGAAGGAACACAAGTGATGTAATACCACACAAGTGTTCATCGCGGGGCTGTTGAGAATGTGAGGCCAGCAGAAATAAGATGGTTTAGCCTCACTGTCCTATGTCGGTAAGCAGCCCTCCAGCCACAATCGTTTCAGAGCCCGGAAACTAATATTCCTGCATATGTTCCGACGTATCGGTAGAAATTTTCTGCTCAGCACAGCAAACGTACAATCGTGCTGACAGGGCTTATGTTTGGCTGCCTACAGGGTACCCAAAAAAGAATAAAGAACAGAGGTAAACAAGGGGCCCAGGTACTTTTCCTGTGGAACGTGGTCACAAAAAACAATCAATCAGCCACAAAAAGCGGTCCCTTCCCTACTCCAAATTTTACTCTTTTCCTTGACTCCCAGCTCCTGCTCTTGGAGGAAAGGGAGACACAGGCTTGTCACTCCAATGAACCCCACTAAGTCCCTGATCCCACTGACCTTGTGCATAAACCTGAAGCATCAGGCACTCATCTACAGCATCCCAGCAAGCCCAGGGCCCATGGGGTGCTCAGGTGGAGGGCGGGGGAGCTCGCCTGTGCACACCCACCTGCCCCACGGCTTTTTCTTTTCCTTTTCACATCCCAGCATCTCCCTGCTTCTCCTGCAGTTCACTTTTCTCCCCACTTTTCTCCCCTGCAACTGTCCAGTACTTGTATGAATTCACTGTAACCCCACCCAGCCCCCCTTACCCCCAACACTTCATGATCTGCATAAATGGTATTATTACTGTTGCCCTCCCCCACTCCCCCAGCAAGAAGTCGATTGCTTCAGAACTCGAAAGCTGAGCAAAACCAGGTCAGTAGGTACTTATCCTAAAGTTTTTTTGGTTTTGGAACCAAGAAAGTTCAGTTCAGCCCCTTTTTTGTGGCTGAAGCTGTCAAATAGAAAACTCATAGGTTCTCCGTGGCCGTTTTCAGCCATGAGAAGAAAGCTTGTCTGCAGGAAAGGGAACGAAGGCCTGGGGCACAGCACACAGCAGCATGGGGGGCTGGGGGTCCTGGCACGTTCCTGCGGCTGCGCCCTGCTGTCCCCACGCCTAGGCTATACACGGACCTTTGCGGGGCTGGCCGTGTCCGTCTATGTTAGGTTCTGTGCTCTCTCCCCAAACTCCTAGGGAAACCTCCACTCGTGCAGGCTAACTCCAGCTGGGATCCCGTTACGCTCAGCTAACAGATTCTTAATATTTTGTAAAATAGCTTTCTATAAATGCAAAAGTAAATGGAAACACATTTTTCTGTATAATCTACATTTTAAAATATTTTCAAAACTCAAGATTGTCACATTCAGTTGGGCATGTAGGGGGAGGGATCTTGGGGAAAATTATAAAATAATGGGGCACTTCGAGCACATCTTAATAAGCCTCCCATGGACCTTATATTGTAGTGTTAATACAGTATTGTAGTGCCAGTTGTTCATGGTTCCTCACAAAAAAAATGATGTATTTTTGAGAGGGGAAGATAGCACTTGTTAAGGAAAAGCCTACTATTCCTGGACTGAGGGGAACTGTGAGCAGATGCTTAGACGGCTGCCTCCTGGCCGGGCTCATGTTGATCCCGCACATACTGAGGTCAGACACACGCATCTGGAAAACGGACACTGAAAAGTCGCACCTCGATTTTCTTACTTAGAAGGGGTGGCTGCAGGAGCGTGATGTCCACACATCCTTTCATCAGTTCATTTTAACTGGTGTTTTCCTTTTGACTCATCTTGGCATAAACTGAGCATTTAAGACATGAAGCCAGAAGGAAGAGCAGGGGGCCCCCTGAGGGTGTGGAAAGCCAGTCTTAAGTGTGAGCCCTTTAATTCAAATTGGTGGGACACAATCACTCCAAACACCTGTCTGTCTTCTAAAATCCTAATATTTCATATGGAACCGGACCTAGACGGATACACCTTCTTTGGTGTGTGATGTCCAACAAAGAAGACCTTCCTCATACCCTTCAGGAGCCCAGGTAAGGCTGATGCGCAGGGACGTGCGTCCACAAAGACTTCGGGAGGGACAGACAGCCGGAGCATCCGCCTCTGCATGGGTCAGAGCGTGCGTGGGCCGGAGGGAGATGAGGGACGGGCGGAGGAAAATGCAGCGTTGGAGGAACGTCAAAGGTGAGATTGGTATGAGGATTTGTAATTTTCCACCAAATCAAAACTCCTTCCCAAAGAGGAAGGTCATGTGCAGGTGGGGCTGTGGACAGCCCAGGTGTGAGATGACGGGGGGCAGGCATGCAGAGCGGCCCAGCCCCCACTGGTCTGCATCCAGCCTGCACAGGGGCACGGCTCTAGCCTCTCGGCCTGTGGTACGCTGGGCTGTGCACAAGAACGTGTGAGGACGTTTCCCTTTAAGGGCTGATGCCCCGGAGGAGAGGCAGCCAGGAAGCTGCCCCAGAGAAGGGTCAGGAGTTCCCAGGACATTGGGGATGGAGCCACTCGGAAGACTAGAGGCAGACGTTTCTCAGGATTGAAGCCCGAGCCCAGTTTCGAGCGTCATGGCACGTTTTCTGCACCGCACGCGTTCTGTCCACTGGCGCCGGGAAGAACATGGGACCCCTGGGGCTCCCCCTGAGAAGCACGGGAGTGCTGACTTCCCTGGGTCAGCTGCAGCTGAGGTCAAGCCCCAGCATTCAGCTGCCGTGGGTGGGAACCAGGAAAGGGGTTAGGAGAGCAGGGGGTCAAGGTAGTTTTGGAAGATGCAGTCTGTCCATTTGCTTATAACAGTTTTCTTAGAGGACATAGGAATTTCTGGCTTTCCCAAACAAAAACCAGACTGCTGAGCAACAGCCATAGCAAATCTCATGACCTTTCATGCCGGCGACCCCAGGCTTCTGCTCCAGCTCCCTCTTCTCCCCTAATTGCACACTCATGACCCAGCTGCCTGCTGCCCAGCTCCACTCGATGTCTAACCGACAGTTCAAGCTTTGCACGTCCAAACCTGAACTGCTGCTCTCGTACCTCGCCCCGCCCCACCTCTCCACCCACACCCCTCACTCCCAGATGACAGCCGCTGTGTGTGCCCTGCTGTCCAGACCCTGCGACGGAGGCTCCCCTGGCCCCCCACAGCCCACCTCTGCATGTGAGGCGCTCTGCCATTGGATCTGTCCAGCCCCTGACCACTTCTCATGACCGGTACGGCTACCTCGTCGGAGCTGCCGGCTTCTCTGACTTAACACTGCAAGTATCAGCTAACTGGTCTCCCAGGTTCCATCTACCCTTGATCCCTTTGGTCGATTCCCAGCTCACGAGCAAAAGGGGTCCTCTTGACACATAAGGCAGATCATAGTGAAACCCTCTGGCTTTCTGTTTCTTCAGGCTAAAAGCAATCTCCTTAAAATGAACTGCCACCTCCTGCTGACCTGCACCCCAGTCAATCTCTGACCTCACCCCTCCCTCCCCTCTGTCTTCTCCCTCTGCCCCAGCCACACCACCCACCTCGTGGTCCCTGAAGCACACCAGGAACGCTCCTTGGTCAGAGACTTTGCTCTGAGGTTCCCTCTGCTCAGAATGCTTTTCCCCAGATGTCCACACGACCCTCTCTTCATCGGCTCCTCCTGTCTCTGCTCGAACGGCACCTTCTTAAGGGGTTCTTATTGTTGGGCCTTACCAGCTCTGCCCCTTAAACACTTAGAGAGACAATTAGCTCCAGACTCAGGAGAAACAGAATGCTTTTGAATGATGCAACTTAGAACTCCTTCAAGGAAATATT